TAATACACTGGCATCAGTACTTTACTCTCCCAGTCCTTCCATACTAAACTATAGAGGGAAGATGAAATGGGAGAAGAACATACAGAAAATTGATGTTTAAATGAGGCAATATTATTTGTTTAAAAATAGACCAATTATCACAATTTTCTTTAAAACAAATGCCCACTAATAAAACTAACACTCAACTCCAGTACCATTTATAGAAATAAACTTTTAATTAGTATCTTTTATATTTTCATGCATACATAAAAACACATTTTTATGTATGCCTCCATTCTTATTATAACCTAGAAATATATTCTGAGGAAAATATAAGCATTCTATCAAGAATTTTATAATAATGACAAATGTAAAAATAATTACCTGAAATATAATTTCTTAAAGTAAATGCATCTTGATGAATATAATCTTGTAACAGACCCTGTTAATTATACTCAATATTTATCTTCCACCTGTTCTTGAGAACCAAATCCCTGCTTTGTTGGAGGTAGAAACGTGGCCATAAAGATCATTCCATTCCCCTTCCCTTGCAGCTGAGCTGGTAGAGTGAACAATTCTGGCCAGTGAAGTATAGGCAGAGGCCATGGTAAGGGCATCCTTCACTAAGTAAAAAAGGCAAGGGCTTGCAACAACAGAGCCATCTGCCCTTTCAATTCCTCTTTCTCTTTCTTCTTGCCTAGACTATGGATGTGAGGCCCACAGTGTAGAGTTCCATATAAACGAAGTAAAAGGCCTGAAGTGTGATACGGATGGCAGAGCAAAAAGGCAGAAAGAACCCAGGTCCTTGATGACACTACTGAGTCAATGCAGCACTTAGACTTTTACCCCAGACCTGATGTTGTACTGAGATAATTAAACCTCAATGTGTTTAAGGAGATTCTATTACTTGCAAGATAACATTCTTCTGATACACATCTGTTACCTCATTCTGCCCTGTTCACCAAAGGTTTTCAAGTGTACAGGTAAGTCCAACCAAAAACAAAGCTATATGTATTACTTTTTATGTATGTATATAGCTATATATATTACTATATATACCATACGGTATAATTACTATATATAGCTAAACTATGGAATCTTACCACTGATTTCTGTACAAGTCATGGAAGAACCAGCAATTGAAGGCAGCAGGAAACGCTATAGAAACTAGGCTGCCCACTCCCTCCCTGCTAGCTACATATAACCGGGAGAGTAGGTCAACCTGCAAATGAGAACTTACTATTTAACCTCTGAAAAAAATGTGGTCAAAAGAGTCAGACTGTAACAGGATTTTGGAGGAAGTTACTTACATTTTCTTTCTATGTCTCTTTCCTACTTCCTTTCTATCTGCTAACTTCTACACTTTAGGTTTCTTCAAGGTGCCTCAAAACACTATCTGTAGTTGCCCAGTACTTTAAAATTTATCTTTTCTACCTCCTATGATCACACCATTTATTAGAGGAGTTTTGTTTTGTTTTTTCCACTTCACTCACGGATGTTTGCTTATGGCAATAAGTAAACCCCCAATTGGTCAAATTTTCAGACAGCGTTAGACTTTTTGGACAAAACTTTCGAGTTCTAGAAATATCTCTTATGGGACAAAACAGATGAACGTTGCTTCTTAGAATCTGGGAAGAGAATCAGAATAGCTATAATACTGCGAGACTGGCTCTAAGTAAAATCATAAGGTAACTGGTTATGTTGAAAGCAAACAAAATTATTATAAAAGTGGAGGATTGAAAATTAGCAAAAATATTATTTTACGAAGAATTGCATTTATGAAACTACCCCTTAGTAAGGATATAAAACTTAGTGTGTAAGTTATGTTACTAAACTAGAATATTTTAAAATATTATAAAGTGCATATATATATATCAGAAACACTATTTATTAAAGATTAAAAAATATCTTGTAACACAGTCTATACCATTTCTAAAAATCACCAAAACAGATATGTGATTATGGTCAAGGGATAGCAAAAAAAAAAAAAAGAAAAAAAAAAAAAGGAAAAGAAAAATCACCATAATAGAGAAGGACAAACAAATAAGGGAGGAAGTTATGTAAACAATCTTA